ATTGCAAAGGCGTGCGGAGACCGCGATACCTGTGCGGAAAGTCAATTAAATATTTGGAACTCGCTTTTTCTCCGCGCACCCTGTGCGGAGACCCCGACCGACATGTGCGGGGACCCCGATGCTCACGGTAGCTAACCTTGCTTCGCCACCCCGTCATGTAACTTCGATTGCCTCGTGCCCTGGGACTCGTGTTGCGATATACTGTGACAGATTAACTGCGCTATCTTCAATTCGCCGGAGGCCCGCGACGATCCCACGCTCTGGCGGACAAGCCCCGAAGGACAGGAAGAATTTCGGTGGAACTCAAGTCGGGCGGAAAGCAGCAACAGCTGGCTTGAAGGTAGAGTGTCAAAATGTACATGTGTGCTCACCCGCCCTCTTGTCTTTTGTGTTTACCCCGGAAAAAGAGTTCACTTTTCATAATAGTTGAATCACTTTTATAACAGTTAGTTCACTTTTGTAACAAGTGATTCTCACTTTCATAACAGAGACTTGGCGTTTCCCTGGCGACGGCACAACAGGGTGTTTTCATTAATGCGAGACAGCACACACGAAACGTCCAGGGTATACATGTTCTTGTGCGATCTGGTCTGTCTCTTGTCTTCCGACTGTCTTGCCAACATGCACGCCCACACCATCACAAAACCGATTTTTGCGCCCACGTCGTGTTTTGTTTTTTTATGCTGCCATGCTTTTCCCCTGCTTTTCTGGGCTTTGGGGTCGTCGTCAAACAGATGCCGAAAGTGCTGAGGGACTTCTTCCTCAACCACGCCATCCTTGTTCGGAATGAGACCCTTCTCAGGTCCAAACTGATGAGCCAGCACCCTAACTTCGATGGAGATCGGTGGTGGAGAGATGCTGTACATGTTCTGGTTGTGGTGTAACCTTTGCCTTTGGTCAGCTATTCACCGCTGTTTTTGCGGGTCTAGATTGGCATTCACCGATCGTCGAATAGGATCGGGGACCTACTGTCACGGGTTGAGTGGTTACTGTCACCGGTTGAGTGGTTCACTCAACGACCTTCGTTGAGGTTGTTCATCTGCCGTGGGGTTCATCTGCGTCGTCGGAGGAAGGCCCGCGGTGGTATCAAAGGTGTTGTCGGCGGGTGCAATGTGCCTTTATCCCTTTACGTCTTGCTGGCGGTATGTGCGAACCTAGGTGAACCAGCCGTACACACACGTGAGAATCCTTCTGGCTGCACAGGGGGGTCGTCTTATGTATGCGGTGCACTACACGTACGGGCTTTCCTGCCCGAGGATCGCCATATCGCATTACCTTCGTCACGTCATGCGACTGGAACCTGTAACTGAAGTTGCATATTTCTATGATGCAATAATGCGCTTGGGCAAGTATGTGCTCGTCCCATCGTTCCGATTCTTGATGAGAGCTGCAGAACTGCTCCAAAATCAAAGTCATTTTCACCGCCTGGCTGTTAAAGGTGACTCTTGGCACGACAGTCGTTTCACTTTTATAAAAGTCCCAAACTGACTGTTAGTAATGTGCACCCACCTCACTTTCATAAGAGTCAGCAAACTGTTATTACAGTGTGTGACACCTCATTTCTTAAGGGTCAGCTGACATATCGTTTCACTTATATAAAAGTCCCCAAACTGACTGTTAGTAACGTGCACCCACCTCACTTTCATAAGAGTCAGCTGACTGATATAAAGGTGTGTGAACTGACACCTCACTTTCATAGGATTCAGCTGACTCTTATGAAAGTGAGTGAACTGACTGCCATAACAGTGAAATAGCGATGACTGTTATAGGAGTGAGCCGACTGTTATCACAGTCAATTCACTGTTATAACAGTCAAATATTTACCTTTATAACAGTGAATCCACATATAAGATTGTGTGGGAGCCCGGGCGCGACAGGCTTGAGGGCAAAAGAAGCATAGAAAACCCACCGTGGTCGTCGCTCGCTCTGGGCCGCTGGAACATGTCACATAGCACTGCATGTCCAGCATTAGGCCCCCAAGTCCATTGCTTGACATAAAACAGGTAGCGCACATCGCCTCTCATGCAGCAGCCCGGTGCACGGGTAGTCTTTTACTCAGCAAGATGCGAAACCACTGCGGTTGACGTAGTTCGAGATGGTTGGGACCCCACCGGCGAAAGACGAGAGAGAGAGACAGGTAGACAAAAAGAAGAGAGCGGAGAGAAGACACGGCATTCACTCTCGAGAAGACACTCACTCTCGTCCCTTTGGCCCACCGCAGGCTGTCAGACATCTGTACCGAACGGCGGTATCCGAAGTGGGCTCAGCAACACCAAACACAACAACCACAAGTCGCCGAGTTAGAACTAGACTAGAGTAGTGCGGACTTTCATCCTTCTGCGACGAAGTGAGAACAAAAAAAATGACGAACTACAGTCCGTCCGCGATAGATGTGCACCGCTGCACAGAGCAGCAGACTGTTGGTTGTCATTCCTCACTTTCTGTTGTAAATAAGATTGTGCTGCCATCTACCTTGTCGCTCAAGTTACGACTGACTACGCAGCAGACTCAAAAGAATCAACACCCTTATTCGATGTATGCCACCCATGCATATGCCGCGTAGACTACAGTATTACGATGCACACCACCCATGCATATGCAGCAAGAGAGAAAAAAAGGCCTGTTGTTGTCTGTCTCAACTGTTGTGCTGCTGTTGCTTTTCATGTATAACGACACAACAGGCGACAAAGTAAGCGACGCGCATCGCCTACTACGCGACGCGAACACCCCAAAGCGACAGACACGAACAACCTTGTCTGAAGCAATTCAGCAACAGCAGCATGGTCACTCCAGAAGAAAATCACAAAAAAAAAAGATTGTGGCGCGCAGCACGCAGGACCCTCTTTCGCTGTTCAACCGGCCGTTCCCATGGCGACACAGACAAGGAACAGTGCAGGCCGAGTCGTGTCGGCCACAGCAGCTGGAAGCTCCTGAAACTCGGGGAGGGGTAATGGGTTGCAATTGCCTACCGAACCATACTTCGGGCGCCACGAAATTTATACTGTAGCTCGAGATCGGCATTTGAGACAGGGTCTGGCAAGGGGTGGGCTATGCGAATAAAAGTTCCACCCACGGATATTGAAATGTGAGACTGAAGCTACAGCTTCAGAATACGTTGCCGCAGTGTTTAGGTCCACCGCCTCCGCCGACGTCATTAAAGCCAAAGCCGCCAAACCGTCTACCACCGCCGGAAAAACGCCATCGTATGACATTCGTACGTACCACACTCGCCTGTTTTCGCGTTGAGTTCCTGTATGGATGGAATACACCTTGACCAACATGCAATGCCTACGAAAACTATTCACCTAACCCCAGTGCCGGCACACCAACCTAGAACTGAGCCACCCAACGCCAACCTAGCACCTATTGGGTGGGTTTAGGGTTAGGGTCAGCGTTAGGGATTCTAGCCGGTTTCATGTAGTTGCTGGTTGGAGGGAAACTGCGCCTGCCTGTAGTAGAGCGAGAGGTGGAAGAAACAAGAAAAACATACGAGTTCGTGACGCTCGTTTCTCACACACTATTTCCGTCGGTAATATGCATGGCTTACATGCGTGCCTGTAGGCGAATAAAATTTATTGGCGTCGCGCATTGTTCCAACACCGCAAATCCGCGAATATTCAACCTTGCCCACCATCTTCATTCTACCCCTCCCAGACTATGTAGATAGTGGCCCAAAAGTCTTTGTCCACGTCACTTTTCTTGTTGAGCCATTTACTTACACCGTGGGAATAACACGCTATGGTGCTTGTGGAATAGGAGGGGCACAGGTAGGCCACACCAACCTTTGCTCATTTTATTGTTTGAGTATTGTTTTCATCACGTTCAGATCAGCGCTCACATACACTGTATTTCTATCGTACAGCAGCGCATAGGAGCTCCAGTTCGTGGTCGCACGGAAGGGTTCCCCCACGCGGTGTCAGAAAAATCCGATTCGTATGACTGCGCTGCCTGCGCCAAGATTCAGACCCATGTCCCAACGATGCGGATACATCTCGGTTCTTCTCGGTAAGCCGAATCCAAATGCCTTACTCATACCCGCTGTGGTGCGTCCAACCATACTGTTTCCTGTGATACAGCAGCACCGATGACATAACACACCTCCAAACAACATGAACACACAATACAACGAAACATCCATACCTGCCCAATATCCCACACTACTGACAGTTTCGCTAAACCGCCCATGGGACACCCATGGGCATGCCCATGGGCGGCCCATGAAATGCCCACCGTAGGCATATCAACCTACAACTTCGCCATCAGCACATCAACATAAAACTATGCCACCTGCATTGACCTAGAACTTAGCCACCAGCGCCAACCTAGCACGCATCGTGTGGGCTTGGGCTTAGGGTTACTGTTAGCGTTAGGGTCATTTTCCGCTATAGCGCCCGTTCCATAGCAGATAATCTATTGTTGAGGAGTACACTGGTTCGGTTGAAGGTCTGTCACTGGCCGCCCATGGGCCTAACGGGGTGCCCATGGGAGGCCCACGGGTCACCCATGGGTCATTTGTGAAAACTGTACAAAGTGTCGGAGACCCAACCACTGGGACACAATCATTTCATAATAAACCTAGAAGACACTCCTCCACAGAACAACCGAATATTTTGCCTCACTTGGCGTACACGAGGCAACATACATGTACTCCCCAAACCCCAAAAAAATTAATTGAATCAAACACCCCCATAGATTTTTATCGTGTTCCCGATTTGGGGTGGAGAACAATACCTAGCAAACTACGACGTACCTAATTGCGATTATTTTCACCAAAACAATTTACTCAATAAACCAATCGAAGGTTCTACTACATCTTGTGCACCTTCAAGAGATCCACAACGGGCGCCGAAGACTCCCCACCCTGCTTTACGCAAAAGTGCGGCACAATGTCACTGCACGACCTACCACGCCTCCTCATAAGAACGAATCACGAATTCATTTCAACTCCGACACCGCCTCAATAGAGCGCCTTACTCTTTTCTTCAGGCGGAGATGGACGCTCATCGCGCCATCCGGTGTCCTAGCCGCCTTTGAAGAATTTCAAGCATGATTCTAGCGCTTGGAACGAAGATGTCCTGGTCCACCCCGAAGATTTTCCCATGAGCCTTGAGCGACTTACGCTTCACGACGATCCGTCGTCATGTCACATGGCATACGAAACGAGAGCGGGACCTTGTTATTACGAATTCGAACCTCTTGCTGGGGGCTGACCGAATGGGGTATAAACTCGCTGTGCCTGAACTTGAGATGTGCTGCTCGAGAAATTCAACGTGTGCTTGCCCAGCTCAACGAGCTGTCATGAGGAGCCGATTTACCGACAACGCAGAGAGACTCTGAGAACGTAACCGTGCGTGCAATACACTATTCAAGGCCCAGGTGGGCACCGAATATTACGATCTCCCGACGATCATCCCTACGCGGGCCATGAGTGGCACGACACGCCAGGGTATATGTACACGCCATGTACCACTCTCTCACCCAACTATTATACCGCACTATGTCCAGAACATCAAGTGAAATACCTGCATTTGCTCCAGCTCCGCTCGGGGAACCGCCCGCAGGGTCCTCACCATTTGCGGCCCCACTTGATCCGGTGCAAACGCGAAAGAGAACGATGACCAATCAATTAGCTCCTTGAATGGGAGAACCAGGTCCCAGCCTACGAACACGGGAATTGACCCGGCGCTCATTACCTCTCCGAGACGGTACGTGCCGGGAGACCGGCCAGCTGGAACCAACCCGAAGGTGGAGTTCATTAGGCTCTCGTAGCTATGGTCGCCGTACCGGTCGCTCAGCGCTCGGCAGTACTCGACGTTTTCCGGGAGTAGGTGCTCGTCGTGGATTTCGAAGCAGTGCAATGACATGATCACTCCGTTGGCCTCGTCCTGGAGGGGCACAAGACTCATCCTTTCCCCCGAACCGTGCCCGCTAAGGTATAATGTACCCTATTCGCGCAATCAAGCAGTACGGTAATGGTACGAAGAACAGGCACGGCAGCTCGCTGAGAAAACGTACGTCGTTATTTTGGGATCATATCCGAACTATTTATAACGCTCCTACAACCAGCATCGCTAGGCACGTGTCAGGTGGGGGACTTCGCGTTATCCGCTACTATCTTATGCTACCGAACGCGAAAAGGCGTTTGTATCTTTCGAAACAGTTCGCTGTGTGTGCAAGGTAATTTGGAGTAGCAGTATGCATACACGGGTCCTGTGTGCTGGTCAGTACATTGTTGGTTGAGTTGTACTGGGATTCTGGTGTAATGATCAGAGGTGTCACCATGTATGCGAACTGCCGATCAACACGAGTTTTCCGTTCAAGCAAGACAAGCATGTTTTAGGCGGCTAATGTGTCCCTTACGATTCCGACGTCACTGTTTGACATGTCTAGTGAAAGACGCGTGACAGAGCGAGCCATCTACACGCAGGCTACGTATGTCACAATGGCCACCCTCTGAGTGTCAATGGCCACCCTCTGAGTGTTTGAGATGGCGAGATGACTAGATCAGCCTTCGGTCCACGAACAACAGCTTCAGTAGCCGTGGCAACACATAGCAACAGAGGACGTCAAAGTCTCATACTACCTTTGTTGTAAGGAAGAAGTTCCGATCCCAAGCGGCAACGTCGGCCAGATTGTTGAACGCCTTGTTGGAAGGAAGAGGCACGGAAATGTCGAAACCACTCCTGTAGAAACACGTGTGCATGTTGGAAGCCGCTTCCATGGCGTAACTACCGGCCACGATGGGTCGTGAACCCCTGGCCAAGGTTTGTCAACACGAGTGAGCGGTTCGCGCGAATGAACAACACGCAGAGCAGGTGCAAAAGCCGAAGTCGGATTCACAGCACGACGTGTCCACAGTTTTTACCTTTCGAATGTGTCGAACGTGAGACTGCAGATGTTCCGTGGTTTCAATCTGAGGATTGTCGTGGAGGGAGAATATGTCGCATATCGGCTACATGCCCAAAGAGAAGAGTGAAGTGACACGGCAACGATTTTCAGCGAAGGTTCATATAATTCCATGCATGGCCGCTTGCTCTGTTCCGTGAAGTGGGTGACTCCATGTGAGGGTAACGTTTCGTCGAATACATGCCCGACACATCATCATTCCCATTCATCTCTGTGACCCCTGTGATCATGGCTTGGTCTGGAGACCGCAACAACGTTTCAAGTCGATCCGCATGTCGGTACCCTGGCTGGGTGCCGACGTTGGGAGGGTTTCACCTTCACGAACCTTGCGATATTGAATGTTCTAATGTAAGTTTAGATTGGATGAGGCCCCTTGCGCCGTATTGTCGTCCCGCTCATCCTTCCTTGCATCCGTTGGCTGTACATATTGTTACCGCTTGTCCGGCGCACGAGATGATCTCACCTAAACTTTCTATTATGGAGGATATGGTACCGGCTACAATGGACGCGGCACATGCGGCGAACTCTTGTTGGAAAGCTTCCGATAGGGCACAAAAAGCCGGCGTAGCACCGCCCACGGAAACCTCTTGCCACCTTGCAAGCAACAAGGAATGGTGGCCACGAGTTTCGTTTTCAACGCTGCTCACTACAATAGTTATCGCAGGAAAAAGAGAATGTTCTTCTTTGCTCTTAGAACTTCGAAGCCATCAGAAGCGATTCGTGGTTCCATGATTTGTCCCTCATTTCTTATCTACATCCTGTCTAAGGTAATCGTATTTTTCTTCGCTCAGCGGACGAAAGTCCTGTACCTTCATTTATTTACGAGATGGAGAAGCCCAAACAAGGATCGGTTGAAGGATCCTCGGTATGGAGACACAATCCAACAGCATGTAGTAGGGTTTTCCTAGAAAACCACCAACAACGAACAAACACACCACTTCTTGGTATTAATTCCGAAATCGGACGTGTGTTTTCTGTACCTGCTGACGATTCGATGCACTTTGACCGCTTGTTTTGCAAAGTCCCATGGCAAATATCAAGGTGGATGTGAGTGCCCCCTTTTCGGGCGTTTCCTCGATTTCCCCTTGGGTACCGAAAGAAAAAAAAAAACAGAGGTAAAAACGCGTTCATATTATTGTTGACCACTTTTGTTTTTTGCGACGAAACTCCTGCAGGGAAAAGATGCCTTATTTTCGAGCTTGTACAACGTTCCGACCGAATGCTGGAGATTGACGAAGATCTGACTACAACGTCTTTGCGGTCGTTCAAAACCAGAACGTTTGTCACTCCCGAAGATTCTGCAGGTATGCCGGTATGCCTGCCCCGTCCACTGTTCAAGCCTAGAAGACAGTAGTGGACGGAGAAAAATACTGCTTGATGTTGTAGACGTATCAGGTGCAGCAAGCTGAACCACGTGTGTGTAATGTTCTTATCGAACTGCAGCTTACACGCTGCATGGCCTCGGTTTCGACTATGCTCGCAACCCCTCCGATCTAGACGACCTGACCGAACCTATACTCATTCATGCTTACCCTCGGTGCGACCAAGTTTACTACTGAAGTATTCTTTAAGAGAGTCTACACCAGGTCGACAAAATCGATGGGTGAAGGAGATCAGCATTGGATCGTTGGATATGGAGCTGACGACGGTGGGTCTTGTTTTCATGTGTGAACAGAAATGTAGGTCGAATGCGAAGTGAATACTGCAATGGTCTAATCTTGAAGTCGAGATAATTTTGGTTTCATGCCTTCGGCGTACGGTCTCGTCCATGTTCGGCTTGGTCATTGTCTATCCCGTCGCGGAGGTAACCTGCATCAATAAACATCTGGAAATTTAATCCATGAAAATGAAGACTGTGCGCCGTTCCCATAGAAGTCCATGGAAACTTCATACCCTCCCATTGATGAAGTAGATATGACTTCTCTTCCATGGAAGACGTCAAATGCCATGAAAAATATATGGAAGCTGCGTGTCGGATTCCGGCATGAGCTTTCATGGAAGTTTCGGCAACTTCCGCGGGAGTTAAGAAACCTTCCATGGCATGAGCGGGCGTTTGCTTCCGCCGAACATGTGTAGCTTCCACGAAAGCTCGTCCAGAGCCTTTGTTAATGGAAGTCAAGACTTCAATGGAAGTTCGTTCGTCGAACACCTCCCCGAAACTGTAAGCTATTTTCATGTCACCGTGATTGCAACAAACCGTGGAGGGAGAAGGGATTGAAAGGGCTCCAAAGCAACTTCCATGAAAGCTCGACAACAAACTGTCGCCCAATGCTGTCCTCAAGCTAGACTCGGGTGACATACCCCATGGAAGTTGTGCCATGAGGGTTCCAGGTGGAAGCCAAAGCTTCCACTTCCATCGAAGCTTTTGCTTCCCGAACGTGGGTAACTTCCATGGAAGTTGGTCGAAATGTCTCCCGTGGAAGCTCACCAAGCTTCTTCCATGAGGACAGATTTCCACTATGTAACTTCCATGGAAGTTCAAGCCATCATGGAACGCTCCCGAAACACCCCTACCACACCTTCCACGGACGTTTTCCCTAAACGTCCATGGAACTCACAAGGCCAACTTTCAGGAAGTCAAATTCAACCAACTTCCTTCCATGAAGTAAAATGCTGCTTCTGCAAGATACACACAATGTCACATTTTGTGGGAGGTAGGTCGCGGAAAAAGCTCCAATGGATAATTATTCTTGTTGGAGGTGTTGGCAGGGTGTAGGAAAAGCCGTGATGAATCGACGGAAATGACATGTGCATTTCATCGTTGTGATTCGGCTACAATGCTGGCTATAATAATAGAGAAAGTGCGGATATAACAGAATGGTGTCAGCTTTCACGCCTTCTCTACTATGAATCGATCAGATGTTGACACCGGGAAGCGGACGGCGAAATCTACCGACGACAATTATCTTGCCGACAGAGTTATTCTCTTTGGCCAATTCTTCTGCGATTTCATTCCACACTGCTGTATTTCTGGACGTCCTTCGGGCGATGGGAGGTTCTGCAGCAGCCCTAACTTAATTTGTTTCTTGCGAGCAACAAGGTCACGTGTTGGACATATTTCGCTTGTCCAACATCGAAAGAAAGGACATCGGGACACCGAACGTATTGTCCAGGTTAGGTGAGGGTAAACAAGAGTGCACAAGAAAGCATCCCTTCACACCTAGGTACGTACCCATCTTGTGTTTAACTTGGAGATTTTCAGGGGGAGGTACCAGTACTGTGTAAAGCATTCCTGAAATAATATAAATCACAGGGGCCACGCGAGGGAACCAAGAATGCTTGCGTCCGGGTGACGCTACGTATGATAAACCCAACCCACATCAAGAGAGCACTCGGACCGTTCAAAGTATGCGTAAATACGATCATCATCCCTAAAGTTAGTTGTAGCACGCGATGTGTCCTGCACATGCAGCCTGCTTAAAGTAGACCTTACACCCTAAGAACGGCAATTAAAAGGCATGGTGACAAACATTGTTTCGGCGATACCTAGTTACGCAGCACGCGCCGCCCCCCCAAACACGATATATTGTATATTGTGGAGTCAGCTGACGTCGATAGGGAACGGCTTGGAAGGTAGGCACCGGAATACAAGGACAGCAGCTGCAGAGACGTGTTTGCCATCAAGAGCGTCAAAGAGATCCACGGAACGGAGTTTGGAATACAAGGACAACAGCTAGGACGGTGTATGCCAGCGTGCGTCAAGGAGATCCAGCTATGAGAACAAGTGGCACATTGGTTTCAGACATGAAGGCTAGGAGAAAGAAAAAGAGTTGGAGCGAAGGTTGTAGCAGGCAAAGGCGGAGAGTGTGAAGCTCCAGGAGGCCCGAAAAGAGGTGGAGGAAGAAACGAAGAAGGTGCGGGAAACACGTGGAGGAACCGGTTAGGGATACGGCTGCAGATACGGCGCGTGCTGGGGTGGCTGGCGGAGCAGGGCTCGGTTTTCGAACGGTGGACATGGCCGACTGTGGTAGTTTTATTTTAATCGGTCTTTTTGGTGGCACTCGCAACCCGCCGAAGCACCCGACCGAACCGAGCAAGTTCATGAGTTGGTCAGGGAGGATACGGGTCTTCCTCGCTGTCGAAGGTTTGGAGCAAACCCTTGACCACACGCACCCAACTGGCTGCGTCCATGTCATCAGTTGTCCGGACCGCAACTACCTGAACCGCATTACTGAACAACAGTTGGGGACAGGACACCAGCGGGCGTGGGGGTACCTTTTGGAGGCAACTTGCGGTTCGGACATCGAAGAAAAGTTGTTTGCGTGCAGCGCGTGCCGGGGACGTGGAACGCTCTCCGAAAATGGTCTTTCCCCATTAGTGATGCTGAACAGACACTGCTTGTGCGAACGGTTGGAGATAGTTGAGAGGACCCCCGGCGCGGACTCGAAGCTGTTCTTGGCCGGAGTGGATGGCATCGGCAACACCATGCGAGCTGTCGGCATTGAAATATCCGAGCGGAAAATTGTGCAAATATTTGTCCTCCACCTTCCGCCCGAGTACGATGTCGAACGCAAGCCCACCCTGTCCGATACCGACACTTCTCGTGCGAAGAGTTGAGAAGATTGTTCGCAAGACCTACTCTAACATTGTCATGAAGCAGGTTGGGAAGATGAAGGTGCCTGCGGCGGCGACGGTGCAACCGAGCCAAGACCCCCACGCCCTTGCTTGCTGTCGGTGCTTTTCGGTCCGGCAAGGGCGGCAATGGCAACGGCGGTCGCGGCTCTCGGAGTGGCGGCGGTTTTTTGTTGCGGTGGGCGCGGCCGGCAGCATGGTATCGGGCGGCGGGCATCGAGCCAGCAACGGTACGAGGTGATG